TCCCTTCAGAGGAGGCGTCCCTGGAGAGGGGCCCTTGCAATGTCACCTCCCCTCGCCACTAGCTTGCACCCTCTCTCAGAGTCAGTTTGGAGACACCCACAGCACGTCCAGGGCTCCCTGAGGCAGTTGACGGAGCCCAGTAGGAGACCTGAACACCTATCATACGACTATAGTTCTCCCTGGCGTGTGCCCACCTGCAGCCAGAGCCCCAGCTGCTCTGCTTCTGAGGGCCTGCCCAGCCTGGGTGGATCTAGCGCCCAGATGGACTCCAGGGACACAATGAGGGCCATTCTCAGAGTCAGGCAGGGCCTGTGGGGCAGCCCTGTCGGCTCCCAAGTGCAACAACTGTGATGTTGTTCTCAGTGGGCCTGGCTGGGGAGTACTGGCATCAGGCTAGGGGCTTACCTTCTCTGCCCCTGCCTTCTAAGATGAGGGAGCCTGAAGGGCCTTCCCGGGTTCCTCCACTGTGTGGCCAGGTGCTCACTTGGCAGGACAGGACTTCTGCCTCAGCTCCTCCTGTTCAGCAGACACTTGATTATGGCACATCCTGGGCAGGACCTGGTGTGCATGCATCTTGAGGTACCATGCTGAAGGATGCCGGAGACAGACCTGTTTCTCCCATTCTGGGCACCTGGGGCCAGGGGTATGGATTGGGCAGTAGTGAGATGTGTTGGTCAGTACTGTGAGGTGAGGGCATGGGAGAGTGGGTGCCCCAGGAGGGACTTGGCAGCCTTCCTGGAGGGGATAATACCCCATCATGTCCTGAAGGAGAAGGACACAGCGAGAGGGTTCCTAGAGGCAGGAGTGAGGTGGCCAGAGGAGGGCAAGTCAGGCAGAAGCCTCTGTGGTGCCTTGGACACAGATGGCCAACATCGTCCACCTGGGCTGGCAGTGCACCCCTCTGAGGTCACAGTTGTTTCTCTCGAGTTGTGTCAGCACCTGGTTGGCCCAGCCTGGGTCATGCCGCAGGCTCAGCAGTGATGGGGGTGGGGAAAGAGGCTGGCCATTCCTCCAGGTTGGGGCGTGACGCAGGGTTCCTGGGAAGGTGACTGAGGCCTGGGAGTATATATGGAGCAGGAATGCTTGGAGTGTTGTGGCTGCCCTATCTGGGCTTATCCGGCCACGGGAAGCCACTGGTGACGTTCATCGAGCCACTCATGCGTGGAGTCTAGCAGTGTGACTGGTCCCTGCTGGCATGCCTGTCGCTCCAGAGTCATGATTGTCTCCCTTCATCCCCTTGCCTGCTCCAGCACATTGGCTCTTGCCCTTCCTGTGCCCCATGTGCTCCCCAATGAGTGTCTGAATCGTCACCTCTTTGGAGAGGCCATCTTTGTCCCTATATGCAGAAGCCTAGTCCCACATTAACTTTGGCATCCCACTGTTTCCCTCAACATAACCAGTTGTTTGGTGTCTTTCTGCCCCACTGCAGCGTAAGCCCCACGTGGACAGGGGCCTTGTCGATCAAGGCCTATGTTGCCTCTGCAGAGCCTGGCCAAGTGCAGGGGCAAGGAGAATCTTGTTTGTACATTCTTAAGTCATAAGGAGACTCTTTTGTTAAATAAACTCTATGAGGCCAGGGCTGTCATCTTAACAAAGAGGATCTAGGTGCTCAGAGAGGCTAAGGGACTTGCCCAAGGCCACCCAGCAGGGAGAGGGTGAACTGGGCTCAGGTCTGGGTCATTCTTTGCCGCTTAGTGACTTGAGTGCAAAGGAAAGAGCGGGTGTCCTTGGGGAGCAGCTGGGAAGGCAGATGAGTCCAAAGAGGCGGGTGCTTGGCCAGCTGGAGAGGTCTGCTAGGCTCTGGCAGGGTCCAAGACTCAGGCCTGGCAGGAGAAAGGCCACCTGGGTGCTCTGGCAGGGAGGGAGGGTTGGCAGCTGACGTAGGTAGAGGAGCTCCTGGTGCCAGTCGCCCGGTGCCACGTGCCCAGCCCGCGAGGTGCTTCCCAGCCTGACTCCAGCTGCCTCAGACTGAGTTGCAGCCGTTCAATGGTTCAGTGATCTCATGTGAGTTCATGCAGAGATTGGGTGGGGGCTGGCAGCCTGGGAGGCTGAGGCCTGCACATCACCTGGGCCAGGCTTCCCCCTCCTTCCCTTCCTCTGTGGACCTTGCCCTCCGTAGAGGCCCTTGTGTTCTCTCCCAACCTCCCCAAGGGCCTGGCCCTGCCTCGTGGGTCTCTGCCAGCCTTCCCTGGGCTGCCCTCCTAAGAGGTGAGGAACCTTTGAGGGGCAGTCCCCTGTCTGCACCCCCACGCCCCTCTGACTCGGCCGAAGGGGAATTTTTCTGTGACTCATTCTGCTGGCACTTCCTGTGGCCACCAGGGCAGGGGCTGGGGGGACCCAGCAGGGCAGCTCTGTTCTGCGGGGTCACTGGGGGAGGGTGGGCCGTGTGTCCCGCCCCCTGATGGGATGTGATTCCCAGAGGCAGGCAGCAGACCATATTTGGGAAATTTGCTTTTCTTGCTGGCAGACTGGGGATGGGGGCCATGAGACCTGTGGGCTACAAGGTCAGTCCCTGCCCCTGCCTGCTTTTCCAAATGGGGCTCTGTCCCCTGGACCCACCACAGCCACCTGTCCCGTCTTGCTGCAGAGCCTTGAAGGTAGTCCATTCTGTTTAGTCGTGTTTTCTTTTTCAAGATTGTTTTTTCAGACATTACCAGTGCTATCCCCATTGTAGTTTGCGCATAATTTTGTTTTCTTTTTTTGAGTCAGGAGTCTCACTCTGTTGCCCAGACTTGAGTACGGTGGCACGCTCATGGCCACCACAGCCTCAAACTCCTGGGCTCGGGTGATCCTTCCACCTCGGCCTTCCAAGTAGCTGGGGCTATGGGTGTGTGCCACCATGACCAACTAATTTTTTGGTTTACTGTAGAGACAAGGTCTTGCCAAGTTTCCCAGGTTAGTCTCAAATCCCTGGGCTCGGGCAGTCCTCTCACCTCTGCCTCCCAAAGTGCTGCGATTACAGGTGTGAGCCTCCACGCCTGGCCTTGCATGATGTTTTATTGAGGCATAATTTACGCTTCACTGCATTTTTCATTCTGTTTAGTTGTGGTGTGCTGATTACTTGGTGTCATTATGGGGCCTTTGCCCTTGGTGTTCACCTTGAGTCTACCTGGGCCTGCCCTCCCAGGCTGTCTGCTTGGGCTGGCCCCTCCCGGCTCCCAACACTCCAACCTCTGCCCCTGTCTGGGACTGGAAGCTCGAGTTGCTGTGGAGAAATGGGCTTCCCAGCCGATGAGTCCCAGGGAAGTGAGGGCTGGGTCTGAATGTTTCTGGGGCCTGGAGCACCCACAGCCTGCCCGGGCCGCTCCCAATGCTTGGCCCTCTTCTGTAACGCTCAGTGTGGCGGGCCAGGAAGACAGCTCAGGGGGGCACTTTCTGACCCTCCTGCTGTTGTAGAGAGCGTGAGCCCTGAGGATTGAGAGAGACCTCCACCCCTTCCTCTCTGCCTCAGGGCTCTGGCTTCTACTTCCTGTTTCAGCACAAGGAGGCGGGGCTGTTCTTTTGCTTGGAATTTCGTCTTGTTTGACTTCTTAGAGATGGAGTCCAGAGAACAGGACTCAGGCCCAAAGGCAAGGCGGGAGGTCACAAAGCCAATGGATGGCCAAAATCCTGGTCACATTTCTGAGTCAGAGTCCAGACCAGGATGTGTGTCCTTTTTTTTTTTTTTTGAGTTGGAGTCTCACTCTGTCACCCAGACTGGAGTGCAATGGCCGCTCCCGGCCACCGCAGCCTCGACCTGCTGGGCTCCGGCGATCCTTCCGCCTCAGCCTTCCGAGTAGCCAGAATTACAGGCATGCGCTACCACACCCGGCTGATTTTTTTGATTTATTGTAGAAATGAGGTCTCACCAAGTTGCCCAGGCAGGTCTCGAACCCACAGGCTCAGGCAATCCATTCACCTCGGCCTCCCAAAGTGCTGGAATTACAGGCTAAGCCACCGAGCCTGGCCAAGATGTGTGACTTTAGGTCCCAGGAGGCTCCAAGGAGAGGGTCGCCATTCTCAATCCTGGCTTCCCTATGTGTGCAGCCTGGGTTCCCTGCTAGCCTAGCAGCCTTCTGCTGTCCTAGGCAAGGTCACGGCCCTGGCGTTGTCTCCCCCAGGAGCCTCCCTCTCGCCTGCCCTATGCTGAAACTGACCATAGCACTCCTGCTGGGGTCCCTCGATGATTGCTCTGGTCCCAGCCAGAGCCTGGTACTTGGACCAGGGGAGCAGCAGCAGGACTAGGTATGCACGGGCGGTGATAGGAAACTGTGGGGGTTCCCTGCCCTGCCCTTAAGTCCCCAGAGAGGCTCTGGACCTGCCCTTGCTGTGGGCCACTATTCCCAATCCCGTGGCCTCCCTGAAGCTCTGCTCAAGCTGGTTGGCTCCTGGGCCATGGGACACACGCGCCCTGCTCTGGAATACTTGCTGACTATGACAGGCCCATGAGCAGGGAGATGCGCATCCTGTTTTCTTCCCAGCCTTAGGGAAAGTGCTTAAAGTCTCATTAATTACTGATTTTTTGGTAGATTTTTAGTAGATGAACTTGATGAAGTTAAGGAAGTTCCCTCATTTGTTTTTAGTTGTTTTTATCCTAAGAAACTACCATTTGTGTCAAACTATTTTCTTGCATCTCACAAAATAATAATTTGCTGCTTCTTTTAACCTGGTGGCATTACTGTCATTGCTGCTGCCCCTTCCTGTGTTGGTCCAGGCAGTACCTTCCTGTGTAGGAGGAGTTTTTAGCTGTGTCTTGAGCATCATCCCTGGCATGTTGGTGATGCCTGCAGTTGAGAGATTTTGAGGTGATATCCAGGCACAGTTGAAAGAAATGCCAGGGTCAAGTGGGCCTTTTCTGCTGGGAACAGGTGGAGACTGGGGACGAGGCTCCATGATCTCACCACACTAGACTGGCTTCCTTTCCCAGTGCCAAAATTCCCTATCCTGGAGGGGGGCGGAAGCTGGGTGAGCCCTGGGCCCCCACGCATGTCTTCATGCTTGTCTGTACCCTCTCTTCCCAGAATGTGCTGGCCAAGGCCCTCTATGACAATGTGGCTGAGTCCCCAGATGAGCTCTCCTTCCGCAAAGGTGACATCATGACGGTGCTGGAGCGGGACACACAGGGCCTGGATGGCTGGTGGCTCTGCTCGCTGCACGGACGCCAAGGCATCGTGCCTGGGAACCGCCTCAAGATCCTGGTGGGCATGTATGACAAGAAGCCAGCAGGTCCTGGCCCTGGCCCGCCTGCTGCCTCGGCCCAACCTCAGCCCGGCCTCCCTCAGGGCCTCCACACCACGGCACCCCCAGCCTCCCAGTATACACCCATGCTCCCCACCACATACCAGCCCCAGCCCGACAGCGTCTACCTGGTGCCCACCCCCAGCAAGGCCCAGCAAGGCCTCTACCAAGCCCCTGGGCCCAGCCCTCAGTTCCAGTCACCTCCAGCCAAGCAGACGTCCACGTTCTCAAAGCAGACGCCTCATCACCCGTTTCCCAACCCAGCCACAGACCTTTACCAGGTGCCCCCAGGACCTGGAAGTCCCGCCCAGGACATTTACCAGGTGCCACCTTCTGCTGGAATGGGGCATGACATCTACCAGGTCCCCCCATCCATGGACACACGCAGCTGGGAGGGGACAAAGCCCCCGGCAAAGGTAAGGCTGCCCCGGCATGACTGCGCAGCCTCCACGGGTCTACCCAGGGCTTGGTTTCTGGGCACAGCCAAGCCCAGCTACCCTTGGTCATTGGCATTCCAGCAGTAGCTATGGATGTGGTCTGGGGACAAGGTGGTAGTGGGGAGTATTTGGAGAAGTGTTCCTCCATCTGGCGAAGATGGCCATGAGTGGCTGCAGCAGCCCAGAGAGGAGACACTGTGCTGGTCTGGGACAAACCAACCCAAGGGTGGGATTACCGCAGAGGAGCAGCCTGCCAGAGGCCTGGAGGCATGGGCAAGGGTCACGTGCTCCAGGTGGGCAGGTGGAGCTTAGCGCATGGAGCCACAGCAGCAGGCTAGGACAGGCCTTTGAGGGGGCTAGCACCCACTGAAGGGCTGGATGGGATGGAGGTTTTTGAGTAGGAGTGACTATCCAGATCTGTGTCTTCGTAAAATCATTCCCACCGGAGAGTGAAGATTATGACAGAACATAGGGGGCCACCATAGCATCAGGGAGCTCAGGAAAAAGGGGTGTGAAACTTGGAGCACTTGAAGGGGAGAGGGCAAGCATGGAGGACAGTAAATGAGTTAGGTGAGTGTGGGTTGAACAACAGAGCTGTGTGTGTCTTTCTCAGACAGAGGAGACCCAAGAAACCCAGAATTTATGTATAAAAAATTGTGCTTATTCTTACATGTTTAAGCTTCAGTTACCTTCAGAGTGTTCGCCATTTGATGCAATACACCCATCAAGATGCTTTTTCCACTGCTCAAAACAGTTTTTAAACTTGTCAATTTTGATGCCTTTTATTGCTTCGGCCAATTTGTGTTCCACCTCTTCCACATTGACGAAATGCTTCCATTTGAAGACCTTTTTCATCTGGGAAAACAAGAAAAAGTCACTTGGGGTGAGGTCAGGTGCATAAGGAGGGTGGTGCACAGGGGTCATGCCATTTTTGGTCAAAAACTGCTCAACATTCAGTGTGGTGTGGGCAGGTGCTCTCGTAAATCATGAAATGGGCAAAATGATACCCATCATGAAATGGGCAAAATGCATTGAAAGAATCTCCAAAAAAATTCACCGAAGCTGAACGCAGCCTCTCACAATAGCACTAGCTGCTACATATGCTGATGGGTTCCTGGACCACCTAATGGGGGAAGCCCATTACTACAAGGGACCTGCCCTGCAAAAGATAATTTCAGGTTTTTTGGGTTCCTCCTCATAAGCCAAGCCTGGAGGTGATGTGGCCCCTCCACAACTGGCAGGAGCCACAGCTCCCCCATCCCTGTGCTCTGGCTCTGTACATGGGCCTGCATTTCATGGTGCAGGGCCGTTGCTGTTGACCTCTAGCCTCATGTCTGCTTCCTGGCCAGCAGGGGAGGAGGAAGGGATAGAGGAGGATGGGACGCACTCTCTCTTTATTTTTTATTTTATTTTATTTTATTTTAATTTTTTGAGTTGGAGTCTCACTCTGTCACCCAGACTGGAGTGCAGTGGCCGCTCCCGGCCCCCGCAGCCTCGACCTGCTGGGCTCCGGCGATCCTTCTGTTTCAGCCTTCCGAGTAGCCGGAATTACAGGCATGCGCTACCACACCCAGCTGTTTTTTAAAAAATTTTATTGTAGAGATGAGGTCTCACTGCCCAGGTGGGTCTCGAACCCGCGGGCTCAGTCAATCCACTCACCTCAGCCTCCCAAAGGTGCGGGATTATAGGCTGAGCTACCGAGCCCGGCTGCATTCTCTCTTTAATAGGCCTTCCCTTATCTCCCGTTGGCTGAACTGAAACCCGTGGTCCACCCAGCTGCAGGTCTCACTACTAGGGACTCTGTCCAAAGGAAGAAGAGTCAGATACTCATGGAGGCCCCTCAACAGTCACTGGGCCCTGTGAGGGAGAGGCCATGTACCTCATGCTCAGGGCCTCCTGTGGTCCTTTGGACTTGTGTGTCAGTCCCTGGATGGGGATTGGGCACACCTTCTGGCCATCCCTGGCTCCACTTCTGGGGCATGTTAGTGGGCCAGTGGGCGCCTGCAGAGTGACCTGTCTGTGACTCCTAGAGCCTGAGGAAGACCCTGCCCTGAGGGTTTCCCTGAGACTTAGGCTCAAGCCTCTCATGGGCTGTTGCTGGGATCCCAGGCCCAGGAACAAGGCCTCTGGCGTGCAGCCTCTGAGCTCTAAGCCCTATGTCCACAGGCCTGCCGGCCCCCTTGACCCCCCCAAGATACCTGCCTATGGGAAGCAGGCAGGACTAAAAAAGGAAGAAGGCTCCCGTGGCTGCTTTGGGCTGAGACCGGAGCAGCCTTCTCTCAGCTTTGGTTGGCCTGTTCCTCCTGTGCCAAAGCCCCCTCTAGTTGGAGGGTGGAGTTCTCCAGGCCCAGAAGTGAGGAGATGTCCCAGATTTTGAGGATAAAGTCACCATACCTGGCTCTCCCCATCTCCTCCATGCCTACTTCTCCCTTTACAGCTCATGCAGGAGGGCCCGAGAAACCTAGCCACACCACCAGGAGAGCCCTGACAGCCACTCTGCCCTGGTTCCCTGCATGGCACTCCTAGGGAGACCACGGTGGGGTAGGTGAGGTCACCTGGTGGGGGGGCACAGCAGGCAGCTCTTAGGAGAAGCTGACCCAGGATCTACTGGGTCAGCTTCTCGGGGTCCTGGCCAGCCTCGTGTTTTCACCATGTCCCATCTAAAGCCACCTGTGTCTGGAGAGATAGTGACCACGTGGACACCTAGTCCAGGGCTGAGATGGGGACCTTGCTGGTGCCAGCTATGCAGCGAGTCATCAGGCAGAGTCACCCCACCCTGCCAACAGAGCAGCCTGGCACCCAGGAGACCTGACCAGAGGTCACTGACAGGTGAGACTCCATGGACACTGGGTACCACACAAGCCTGGGTCACTGGCTCTCACTCCCTGCTGGTACCTTCTGCCATCTGGCCAGAGACAGGCTGTCACAGAAGCAGTACCGGCCAGGATCCTCATGACTGGCCGTAGTCCGCCCATGCCCTCATGTTTGAACACATGCATACCTCACACATATGGACATAAGTGTATGCCCACATGTACAAACGTGTACACACACACACACACACATACACACACACACACACACACACCCCTCAGTGAGGCACACCTCCAGCCCGGCCCTGGTCTTTGCAGGGAAGCTTATCCTGGGACATCTGGGAGTTGTAGAAGCCCTGTGAGCCAGGGAGCAACAGCGAGGCCCTCAGGCCAGGCTGGACCTGACCTGGCCTTGAGCCTGTGTTTTGGCAGCTGTTCTGTTTCCTTCCCAGGCCAGGGGCCTGCTCTTAGCTGCTTCAGGGCTCACCCACTCAGGCCCTTTTGTACCTGGGCCCACTGGTGGAGCTGCCCAGACCTGTGTCCTGAGGGTCCTGCCCTGGCTGTCGTCCCAGGAAGGAGAACCCTGTGTTGCCATTCCCTAGGAAGCCCCATGGCTCCTGGCCTGGGCAGCCTTGATCGTGTCTGCTTATATTTTACAATCATAAAAACAAGACTTGTTTAAAAGCCTAGAGTTGAAATTCTCCAACCGAGGTAATCCTGGGAAATTTTGGCATATTTTGTCTAGCATCTTCTCTATTTGTGTTTTCACAGACTTGTGCATATGGTTTTGCATTTTAAGGTTGTAAATCCAAAATTAGATATCAAAAGCCTTTTGTTGGGTTATTAAAACTTCTCCCTAATGAGTGTGTAGCTGTCCCCAATTTTGCTGGGTTGCCCTCCCCTGCTGAGGGGGCCCTGAGCTGCCTGATTGCTGGTGTCTTCACTGCAGACAGGGTGGCAGTTAGACGTCTCCATACGCCCGCATTTGCAGGTCCTGCCCTCATATGCCTCGCCTTTCCCCTCAGATGTCTGGGAGGCCGTGTCTCCTGGCTCCAGGGTAGAGGGCTGGGCACTCAGGAGGCCAAGAGGGATGGTGACCGTCAGGAGAGGTAGACCCCTGGGTCCCGGAGCAGGTTCCAAGGTTCCAGTTGGTGCTGAGGCGGGAGCCGGTGATCTGCGTGACTGGGGAAGAGAGGTGAGACCACACTGGGCACCAAGACCCTTTGGGCCTGTATGTGTGCTTCAGGAAGCTCAGTGCAGAGGCTCTTCCGTGTATAGGTGGGAGCCCAGAAGGGAAGGCATCTGTGAGGTCACTCTTGGGGGAGCACCCTGGCCGGCGGCTACAGCTTTGCCCCAGGGATCAGCTGTGGCATCAGTCAGGCGTGGAGACGTGCCTGAACTCAGCCCTGTCTTGCCTGCATTTCAGCATTCTACCCTGGGGTTCAGCTCTTCCTAGGCTCCCCTGTACTGGGCCCTCGGGCCATGGTGCCAGGAGCTTGGGCAGGGAGGAGGTGTGTGCTACGGTGATGCCCCCTCCAGCTACCAGGCCAGGTGGGTCTCTTGTTCTCAGGTGTGTCCTGGTGGTCATGGTCACCTGCCTGACCTTGCAGTGCTGCTGTGGTGCTGTTTCCCTGAGGAGGAAAAGAGGCTCCTAGATGGGGCACTGGGGTGCACCAGAGTGGGGAGCCGGCCCAGGCCAATGGGAGATGTCCATTTTGCAGAAGAGGAAGACCAGCAGCCAAGTGGCCCGGAGGTGGTCCAGGCCTTCAGGGCAGATGCTGAGGCCCACTTTGTCCAATTTTCCTTTCCTACCGCCTGCCTTGGCCCCTATGGGGCTGGCGCTGCTCTAGAAGTTTAACCCCTTACCTGAGATTTACCTGGAGACCAGGGGGTATTTCTGAGTTCCCTTGAGGCTTCCCTGGACACCTGATTGAGGGGGAGGAGCAGGTGGGAGAACAAGCAGCCCTGGCTCTAGTGGGCTCTGCATGGCCTGACTGGGTGCTGCCTGCCTCAGGCGGTGTGCCTGTGCAATGGGGAGTGCATGAGGTCGTGTGTGTAGGTCTTGCGTGGATGTCTTTGTCTTTGTCTCTTCCTCCTGGACTCTAGCTGTGTCCCTGCCACCCCCAGGGGCCTCCACTTCCTGCCAACAGGGCCTCAGGTGCAGATCAGGGCGGCCTGTGATTAGCCAGCTCAGCAGCTCTCTGGAGAGTTCGTCTCCCTAATGAGCTTTTCCCTACTGGTAGCTGGCCTGGCTTGCTCCATTGTTCTAACAAAAATATTTGCTGGTCAATATGGCTGCCTGGGTGGCAGATGGTTATTAGCCCTGGGACTGGGGGCCTGGGTCCAGGGTTCGGGGCCCGGCCACTGAGCCCTTCCAGCCTGCGCTCCCTGGCCTCATCTGCATGCGGGTGAGATGGACACCGGTGGGGCATGTGTTGGAGGGTGCTCACCCCTCCTGGTGCTGGGGTCTGGCTGACTCCCTGCTCAGGGAGGGGCACCCCACTGACCCTGGGGGCTTGGTCCTCGCCTGCCCTCAGGAAGCTGTGGGTCCAGAGAAGCCTCAGGCCTTGCCTCAAGGCCCCGCCAACCTGCCACGTCCCTCCAGCCCCCGCCGCCCCACTGTTGGCAGGTTCCAGTGTCTAAAAATAGATCTGGAGGAGACTCAAGTCTGGGGTGTGAGGAGGGAGATGAGTCTGGAGAGGCAGCCGCCGACTCTGCTCCCAGACACTGGGGTGGGAGTGGGGAACACCCCACAGAGGCCCCGTCATCCCCAGCACACCAGCCTGCCTGGCTCTGCTGCCAGACGCGGCCCTGGAGGCGCAGCTGGCTCTGTCATCGCCAGCTCTGCTGCACTGTCCAGGAGACTCTGCCAGGCCCAGGGCTGCTGGAGTCTGTGCCTCCTGGGGGAGGCGAGGCACCTCTGCTGTCCCCAGGGCACCCAGTGTGGCCCTCACAGCCTGCACTCATGAGGCAAGCCTGGCACGGTTCTGGGGACATTGAGCCCGAGTGAGAGGACTGCTTCTGCTCTGCTGCACCAGAGATGTGTGTGGGGAGGCTGTGAGTCAACCCTGTCTCAGACGTCCCCTTTGATTAGGGAACAAAAGACCTTTCTGTGGAGAAAGCTGAGCAGGGAGCCCCGGCGGGGAGGCTGTGGGGCGATATGTCCAAGCCAGACTGGAGCATCCTGCTGGGCCTCATCTTCCCACAGGCTGTGGTGCCTGCAGGGAAGGGGCTGCCAGGCCCTTTCTGGCTGGGTGCTGGTGTGAGGGGCAGCGTGGCCCCAGGCCATGCCCCTATACCTGCTGCACGGTGCCGGGGTTTTTGCCACTGCAGCCTACCACCTGGATCCTTGGCAGCGGTGAGAGCACCTGAGGTGGGGAAGGGGTGGTCCTAGGGACCAGTATGACCCACTAAGGCTTTATCCTTTCAGGTGTTGGGGGTCTTGTCTGCTGCAAGGCAGCTTTGCAGTATGGGTGCAGAGGGGAGTAGAGCTCTTGGTTCTGCCTGTCACTCCCTCACCACATACCTGACCTTCCCAGCTTGTCCAGAGGTTTGGGAGTCCTTGGTGGGCCAGTCCTCAGGAGTCTCCCAAGATGTGCTGCCCGGGGCAGGGAAGGGGCTCGCACTTCTGCCAGGCTGCCCCCTTGGCAGCCCCAGGTCCTGACTGCTGGGGCTCTCCTCAGACTGCCTCCTCTGTGCCCAACGTGGACCTCAGGCGACTGCTGGGTCCCAGGGTCGGGGCAGTCCCTTGCTGGGCAGGCCTTTCTGAGGAGGCTACAGCTGAGAGGTGTCAACAGGTAGGGCTCAGGAGGCCACAGCTATGGCTCCTTGTTCTGCGGGGCCAGGCACCCAGTTGTGGGTGCCCCTGCCCACTGGTAGTGCCCTCCAGAGTCAGGGCCGAGGCCCCTACCCTGCCTGTCTCCCCTCCTCGCCAGCTCACACGCAGCCTCTGTGGAACCTTCGGGGCATCCAGCTATCGAGGCCTTCCATTTCCTGGCCCAGGCCCAGACAGCTCTAAATGAAACCTGGGGTCTTCCTATACCCAAGCACTGTGTTTTCCTGAAAAAAGGTCAGGGAGTACCTGGGGGTGAGAACCAGTGCCTCTGAGGACTCTTGGGAGCCCCTCCCCACCACCCTTGTGTGCCTCGCCCATCTCTGACAGGAGGTAGTGTGCAGGTGTGAGCACGTCTCCCTGAGGACCCGTGGGTGAATCCCCATGACTGGCTTCGAGGGTCAGTGGTGAAGTTGGCTATCTGCCTCCAGGTGGTGGTGCCCACCCGAGTGGGCCAAGGCTATGTATATGAGACCTCCCAGCCGGAGCAGGACGAGTATGACATCCCACGCCACCTGCTGGTCCTGGGGCCCCAGGACATCTACGATGTGCCCCCTGTTCGGGGGCTGCTTCCCAGCCAATATGGCCAGGAGGTAAGTGTTCTGGGGAAAGGGTGGGGGTGGGAGAGGGGGTTTTTGCTCAGGGAGCTGTCTTTTCTCAGACCTAGCTGGACCCAGATGGCCCAGGGTCCCCAGCCCAGACCCCAGTGAGTGCTGCAGGGTTTCTGCCTTTTCCATTCCACCCAAGTGACTCTGACACCTGTAACACTGCACCTTTTCTGCCCCTAGGTATATGACACGCCCCCCATGGCTGTCAAGGGTCCCAATGGCCGAGACCCATTGCTGGACGTGTATGACGTGCCTCCCAGTGTGGAGAAAGGCCTGCCATCCAACCACCACGCGGTGAGCAGTCCGCCAATGCTGGGTCCCTGGAGGCTGAGGCCTTGCTTACTGCGGTGGGTGGTTGTAAGGTGACATAGTGCGTGCACTGGGCTGAGGACCAATATCCGTTAGGCTGAAGCAGGAGGGACTGACTCAGATTGTGGCTCTGCCCCTCACTTGCTTTGGGACAGATAAGGAAACCAAGCTCTCTTGTGAGCCTTACTTCTTCATCTGTAGGACAGCCTGTTGCAGGGCCTTCCCAGCAGGTTCTTGAGGGTATTAGCAAGGTGACCACAGGGCTTATCATCCAAACCAGGACTAGTAATTAGGTGAGAGCATCAGATACAAACCAGGACTGTCCTGGGCAAACAAATCAGAGTGAGGTCAGCCTGAATATAGCTAGCACACACATAACTCAACCATGTACCTGCTACAGAGTGGGAAGACCACAATTAGTGGCGATTTGCTGATGGTTCTGGTGGGGGGTGATGATTATGGTAATGGTGCTGGTGAGAGGGTGGTGGTGGTGGTGGCGCGGTTAGGGCTGCGTGAGTGAACACACATGTGAAGTTCACAGCAGATCTGTGAGGGAGCTCTCCTGTCTTGAAGCTGAGCGCGCAGGCACATTGAGGTGGAATCATCTGGCTTCAGAGTTGGGCTCCTGACCGGAACCTTGTGGATAAGAGTCATGAGGAATGTGTGCGCCAGGGCCTTGTCTGTGGGTGTGGCAGGTCCTGCCCCTGGTCTCCAGGATGGGCAGACAGACAGGCAGCTTTGACCACACTTTGGCCCCCAGGTGTACGACGTTCCTCCTTCGGTGAGCAAGGATGTGCCTGATGGCCCACTGCTGCGTGAAGAGACCTATGACGTGCCCCCCGCCTTCACCAAGGCCAAGCCCTTTGACCCATCCCGCCACCCGCTGGTGCTTGCTGCCCCCCCTCCGGACTCACCACCAGCTGAGGATGTGTATGATGTCCCACCGCCAGCTCCCGACCTTTACGATGTTCCCCCTGGATTGCGGCGTCCTGGCCCTGGCACCCTGTACGATGTGCCTCGTGAACGGGTGCTGCCTCCTGAAGCAGCCGATGGCAGCGTGACTGATGATGGTGTGTACGCGGTGCCCCCCCCAGCTGAGCGCGAGCCTCTGACTGATGCCAAGCGCCTGTCAGCTTCGAGCACGGGCAGCACACGAAGCAGCCAGTCTGCATCCTCCCTGGAGGCGGCAGGGCCAGGCCGGGAGCCTCTGGAGCTGGAGGTCGCTGTGGAGGCCCTGGCACGGCTGCAGCAGGGTGTGAGCTCCACTGTAGCCCACCTCCTGGACCTGGTAGGCAGTGCCGGTGGGGCTGGGAGCTGGCGCAGTACCCCTGACCCACAGGAGCCACTAGTGCAGGACCTGCGGGCTGCTGTGGCCACCGTCCAGGGTGCCGTCCACGAGCTGCTGGAGTTTGCCCGTAGCGCCGTGGGCAATGCCGCCCACACATCTGACCGCTCCCTGCATGCCAAGCTTAGCCGGCAGCTGCAGAAGATGGAGGACGTGTACCAGACACTAGTGGCCCACGGACAGGCCCTTGACAGTGGCCGGGGAGGCCTGGGTGCCACCCCTGAAGACCTGGACCGCCTGGTGGCCTGCTCGCGGGCCGTGCCTGAGGACGCCAAGCAGCTGGCCTCCTTCTTGCATGGCAACGCCTCCCTCCTCTTCAGACGGACCAAGGCCCCTGCCCCGGGCCCCGAGGGGGGCGGCCCCCTACACCCCAACCCCTCTGACAAGGCCAGCAGCATCCAGTCACGGCCCCTACCCTCACCCCCCAAGTTCACCTCCCAGGACTCGCCAGACGGTCAGTACGAGAACAGTGAGGGGGGCTGGATGGAGGACTATGACTACGTCCACCTGCAGGTGGGTGCCCGCCCTGCCTGGGCCTCCAGGCTCTGACTCTGCCGCCCCTGCCTGTCACCGGGACCCTGAGCCTCCCAGCTTCCCCTCCCCCCTCCCCACACAGGACTCTTGTGGTCAGAGGGAGATTTGGGCCCCAGCGGGAGCTTGGTCGCTGGTGAGTCCCTGTGCCCGCCTCTCACCCGTGGGTCTGTGTCATCGGGTCCTGCAGTGTCCACCAGGAATGGCTCCTAAGCACCTCAGGGACTGGGCGTCTCTGGTGATCACAGCAGAGGTGGCTCTGTACTGTGTGGGGAGACAGATTCTGAAGAAATACACAGCAGACACAAATGTTTGAGGTGTGAGGAAGTAGAATGAGGCGGTGGGAGGTAGGTGGGGTGGGTCTTCAGCGGCTGGGACCCTGAGCAGAGGCCTGGCTGCCAGCCAAATGGAAATCTCTGAGAGGAGCATTCCAGGCTGACAGTGGGGCCAGGGTGGTGCCACTTGGTCAGGGACCAAGTGGCCAGGCCTTGGAGGCCAAGGAGAGGGGTTGGATTTGATTCCTGATGTGGGAGCCCAGGTAGGAAGGATGGCCGTGGCCCCTTGCAGTGTGCATCCTTCCTGTGGTGCCCAGCTTCTTTCTGGCAGACAGGAGTTCAAGGAAGCAACAAGGGATGCCTGGGAGGAAGCCACCCTCTCAGGGCCTGGTGGCCACTTGTGCCCGCCCTGGCGTGTGTGCAGCGCCCCCTGGTGGCTGCTTGGCCCTCTGCGCCGCACGAGGCTGACTGGTGCTTTTGACTCAGAGGAGACTTGCTTCAGCCCAGTCCTTGTCTCTCGCCTCCAGGGAAAGGAAGAGTTTGAGAAGACCCAGAAGGAGCTGCTGGAAAAGGGCAACATCATGCGGCAGGGGAAGAGCCAGCTGGAGCTGCAGCAGGTGAGGCCCCAGACTCCCCGCCTGGCCCAGTGACTTGCCCGGTGGGATGAGGCCCCAGGGCTCCCCAGCCTCTCCCTGCACATCATCACAGGTGTGAGTGGGAGCCCAGCAGTGCTCAGAGTGAGCCTGCCACCCCCCCTGCCAGTCACATTACCACCTCCATTTTTCGATTGGTTTATTTTAATGTTATCATCAGAGTAATCATTGGAGGTGTTTAGAGAGTTACAGAAAATTTACAGTGAAAGAGCAGACCGGTCTGGGCAATTTTACAAAACCTTATCTCTACAACAAATAAAAAAATTAGCCGGGCATGATGGCACATTCCTGTGGTTCCACCTACTTAGAAGGCTGAGGTGGAAGGATTGACTGAGCCCAGCCAATCGAGACTGCGGTGGCTGTGAGTATGCCACTGCACTCCAGCCTGGGTGACAGTGAGACCCCGACTCAGGAAAAAAAGAGCAGAAAACAGACCACACCTCAGGCATGCTCTGTGTGGGGTTGACTCCCTACTCAAATACCCCTGCCTGTGAACATTTGACTCTCTTCTGTCTCAAGCATCTTCCCCGGCTTAAACATTCTTCATGAATTTTTTTAAAAACTGCACAATGTCTATTGTTGAATGTTTGCATTGTACTCGGTGTTTCTTGTTATAAATATAGTGCTGTATTTATATGGAAACAGTTTTCTTCACATTTTGGATAATTTTCTGAGGGTAGGAAAGTGAAAAAAAATTAAAGGAGCTGTATTCTGATTATGAAGGTAATTTAAAAAGAGAAAATACCATCTTATGTACCAAAAGTCACTGAAGTTTTCCTTCTAGCTGGTAAAAGTAGGATTTTGCATGACCTCAAAAAAAAAAAAAAAAAAAAGAAAATATAGAATAGTGCTGGGCTCAGTGGCTGATGCCTGTAATCCCAGCACTTTGGGAGGCAGAGGCAAGAGGATTGCCTGAGTCCAGAGGTTGGAGACCAGCCTGGGCAGCTTGGCAAGATCTGATCTCTATAATAAATCAAAAAAATAAGTCAAGCATGGTAGCACATACCTGTGGTTCCAACTACTTGAAAGACTGAGGCTGAAAGATTACCTGAGCCCAGCAGGTCTAGGCTGCTGTGACTGTGAGTGTGCCACTGCACTCCAGCCTGGGTGACAGAGTGAGACTCCGACTCAAAAAAGAAAAAAAAAAAAAAGGAAAATAAAATATAGACTAGCACATGGTTCCCTCATCCCACCTTCCCTGGGTGTGGAGGAGGCTGGTGGAGGGCAGAGCCTCCCCCCCACCCTCCCCCAAACAGGATGCAGGTGTTTCCCAGCAGCAAGGCTGTAGCCAGCTCAGTGCTTTGAGAGCGAGTGAGTGAGGAACAGAAGGTGCTGTGGAAAGTGTCTGGCACACATAAAACACTCGGGAAAGGCTAGACATCGGAGACCAGTGGGGAGGGGGATGCGGGGTGAGAAATTAGCTGTTGGGTACCAGGTGACAGGTACACTAAAAGCCCAGACTGCACCAATACATAATATGGGGGAACTCCCAAAACCAGAATTTATAAAAAATTGGGTCTTTATTCCTACACATTTAACCCTCAGTCACGTTTAAAGTACTCTGTGTGATGCAGTGCACCTATTGAGATGCTCATTCCACTGTTCAAAACAGTTTTTGAACTCATCAGTTTTAATACCTTTTATTAGTGCTTCTGCCGTTTTTTGTTTCACCTCTTCCATATCAGCAAAATGTTTCCCTTTCTATTCCTTTTTTTTTTTTGAGTCAGAGTCTCACTCTGTCGCCCAGGCTGGAGTGCAGTGACATGCTCATGGCCATCACCACAGCCTCGACCTGCTGGGCGCAGGCGATACTTCCACCTCAGCCTTCTAGTAGCCAGAACCTTGTCTCTACGATAAACCAAAAAATTAGCTGCGTTAGGTGGCGCACACCTGTAGTTCCAGCTACTTGGAAGGCTGAGGCAAAAGGATCAGCTGAGCACAGCAGGTCGAGGCTGCAGTGGCCGTGAGCAGCGTGCCGCTGCACTCTAGCCTGAGCAACAGAGTGAGGCTCCAACTCAAAAAAACAAACTTCCAAATAAAACTTTGGTTGATGGTTTGATCCGAAGAAACAAATTCTAAGTGTACTACAAGGGGCCCACACTCCAAAAGATTATTTGGGGTTTTTTTGTAGTAACATTTAAAAATGTATAAATATAAATAATACATGTAGAATCGTCATTGTTTTAAGTAATGGACATGTACTTTATTCTTCCTCTGTACTCCCAGCCTCTATTTAACCAGTTCCCTTGTGGTTGGACATTTAGATTATTCCCAGAGTTTTACTTTGGTGAACAGTGTCATGATGGGTACACGTCTTTGCACATATATATCTGATCAATCACTTAGATAAATTGCTAGAAATTGGATTAAAGGACAGAAAAACATGAACCCTGAAGATGTGGAATTCCTCAGCCAACAACATAAAGTACAAGTTAAAATACAAGTACAGGACTGGGCATGGTGACTCATGCCTGTAATCCCAACACTTTAGAAGGATCACTTGAGCCCAAGAGTTTGAGACCAGCCTGGGCAATGTAGTGAGACCCCATCTCTACACAAAAAAATAATTAATTAAAAAAAGTAAGTACATAAAGGTAATATATTGGTGAGGACATTTATTGCTCCATTTTCTTCCCTTTTTTTTTTTTTTTTTTTGAGTCAGTGTTTCACTCTGTTGCCCAAGCTGGAGTGCAGTGGCACGATCACAGCTCACCACAGCCTCGACCTCCTGTGCTCAAGCTATCCTTCCATTTCAGCCTTCTGAGTAGCTTGGACTACAGGTGTGTGCCACCACACCTGGCTAATTTTTAAAATTTTTTGTAGAGACATGGTCTCACCATGTTGCCCAGGCTGGCATTGAACTCTGGGACTCAGTCCTCCTGCTTTGGCCATCTGAAGTGCTGGGGTTACAGGCATGCACCATTGCACCCAGCCTTGCTCCGTTTTTATGTCAGTGAAAATCTGAAAACCTCTCGCCCCTCCCCCCCAAATGTCTGATAACAGAGTATTTGTTAAGTAAAGTATGGACTTTATACAGTAGAATATGATATAGCAATTCAGAATTGTCAAAGAATGAAAAGACCCACTAGAGTTGAGGGAAATAAAAGAAACTGTGTTCTCTCACTGGACAAGAGAACCAAGAGGTGGAGAATGTCACCAGGCAGCAGTCTAAGGCATGAAAATTGAAAGGTTTAAGTGTTAGATGGGGTGGTTTCATTTTGTTTTGCTAATTCAGGCTTGCAACCCTGTGCCTTGGGCAGAATAGAACTTGTCTATCCTGAGTCTGGGCACAGCTGGTCTGTCCCCTGGGCAGAACTAGCTCTCGTGAGGACATGTCGTCCCTTCTGATGATATCCTAGGCAGGGACTGAGGTTGGTGGAAGTTTTCCCTCTAGTGTGTAGGTCTAAGGTAATTTACCAGAATTTGAACAGGCTGTTTCCAGGGCATGGGATTATAGGCAACATCTACCTTTTTTCTGTTTGAAGCTTTTTACAATGTTTATGTTACTTTTATGTTTATGTTTCAGGATAAACTTTTTCAAACTTTTCATTTGGAAATATTTAGATTCATAAGAAGTTGGAAAGATAGTGCAGAGAGGTCCTCAGTCCCTTTCACCCAGATCTTAAGTAACTGTAGGACAGTACCCAAACCAGGATGTTGAGACCCCTGGCCCCAGGAGCCCACTGATCTGTTCTCCGTCTGTATCTTGTCATTTCCAAAATGTTCAGAAAGTGGAATCCTGCCTTTTGACGGGTGGGAAGCTAATTGAATGAATCTCTGGAAGGCTTGTGACAGTGTGTGGCCCCTCCCCTAGACAGGAGATTGCCTGAGTCCCCAAACCCATGCACTGTGAGTGGTAACTCTTGTTGGAACACCCCCTGCACCCCCAGCCAGCTTGCCCAGAGCCATCTGCTCAGCCCTCCCTGGGGTTCTGACTCTTGGTCTGAGAGCCTGACCTGCTTCTGCTTCCCCTCCACCCCAGCTGAAGCAGTTTGAGCGACTGGAGCAGGAGGTGTCGCGACCCATAGACCATGACCTGGCCAACTGGACGCCAGCCCAGCCCCTGGCCCCGGGACGGACAGGCGGCCTGGGGCCCTCGGACCGCCAGCTGCTGCTCTTCTACCTGGAGCAGTGCGAGGCCAACCTGACCACACTGACCAATGCCGTGGACGCCTTCTTCACCGCCGTGGCCACCAACCAACCGCCCAAGATCTTTGTGGCACACAGCAAGTTTGTCATCCTCAGTGCCCACAAGCTGGTGTTCATTGGGGACACGCTGTCACGGCAGGCCAAGGCGGCCGACGTGCGCAGCCAGGTGACCCACTACAGCAACCTGCTGTGCGATCTCCTGCGCGGCATTGTGGCCACCACCAAAGCTGCCGCCCTGCAGTACCCATCGCCCTCCGCTGCCCAGGACATGGTGGACAGGGTCAAGGAGCTGGGCCACAGCACCCAACAGTTCCGCCGCGTCCTAGGCCAGCTGGCAGCTGCCTGAGGGTGGATGACCAGAGGACAGAGGCAGGGGAGGGTGGTGACAGTCCGAGCTCCTCAGGCACCTGACAGGAGAATCAGTGTGCTGCAGGTTTGGGGACAGACCCCAACTCTGCCTCGGGCCTGGTGCCCCAGACTGTCCAGGAATTTGTACATATTTATGACAGGACAGGATGTTGGGTGGCACCTCCTCGAGGAGTGGCTGGTGGTCTTCTGAGAGTGCACTGCTGGCCAGGACAGTCACCACAGTGGGGATCCAGGGCATGAGGGCTCCTCGGTCTGTGGAGCCTCGTGTGACCCCCCTGGGCTGACCGTGGCCCCGAGGGTGTCCTGTCCCCAGGGCAAGTGCAGCTCAGTGTGTTCCTCTCCTTCACAGGAGAAAACCCTAAAGAACTATTTTTCATTATTGATTTTCCAATCATTTGACTAGTAGTCAACATTTAAATAAAAATTTAAAAATGAAAGCAACTGCCTGAGGTGTGTGAGACAAGAGGGGGCCCGTGGGTGGGAATGCAGGTTTCAGGGGATGTGATTTGCCATGGGCACCGTGGGTGGCCTCTGGGAGGGTGAGGACCAAGGAGCTGAGGCCAGTGTCTCCTGCTGGGGGCGGGTGTGAGGCCTGCAAACAGTCCCAGGCCTTGGTAGGCTGGGCAGAGCCTGGGCCTCCAGAGAGAAGCTGGGGAGTGTTGTCAGGTGTAGGGTGTGTGCCCTGTAGGTGTTGGCCACGTGATCCCCTGGAGCCATCCTGTGGTGCTGCTCCAGCAAGCACATGTCTGCAGCTAGGGTCTGGAGTCCGGGCAGATGTGCAGCCGGGAGCAGCTCAAGGAGGGACAGGTTCTGTTGGGGCCCCGTGTCCCAAGGAGAGACCAGACGGACTGAGGGCACCCCTGGGGGACTCATGAGTACACACAAGAAGCTTGCTGTCATCCAGGGCTGTGCGTTAGAAGGAAATTTATTCCAGCTTGTGCAGCTTCCAAAGCGTGTTCAAATTGCACCCAGACTTGGCTTCCAAGTTGGGAGGCCCAGAAACGCTCCTTGCTCTGGGCCAGTGTGTGCCCTCCCCTGGCTCCCCCTATCCCCAGGCAGCTGCAGCCCAGATGGGGAATGCTATAAGTGTCTGGCACTTGTGGTGCTGCTCTCAGCTCTGACCATTTTGCATATGAACGTGGGCCTCAGTTTCCTTGTCTGTATGGAAGTGTTGGGCTGGGTGCACTGCCAGCCTTCCTGGATCTCAGCTCCTGAGGGAATGCCAGTGATGGCATCCATCCCCCACCCGTCATCCACATCCCCCTCAGCCTCCTCCATCCCCCTGAGGACAGAGAAGTGGAGGTGCACACAGTTAGCCTCTGGTTTTATTTGGGTTTTACACAGACATGGAGCGGGGAGAGGTTCAGCCTCCAGAACCCAGGGCGTAAACTGACTTGAGCCATGTCTGCTGACGATGGGAGGCGCCTGCTGCTGCCCCGGGACATGATGCCCACTAGGGTCCAGGCTCCATGGTCTCTGAGCGTCAGTCCCCGCCTTTGGTAGGCCCTGGGAAGGAGTGAAGTTGGTCTTGCTCTGTTGCCCAAGTTGGTCTTGAACTCTTGGGCTCAAGCAGTCCTCCAGCCTCAGCCTCCCAAAGTACTATTTTTACAGCGTGAGCCACTGCACTGTGCCTGATTTTGGCAGATTTTTAATTCAGATGGTTTTTCAATAAAGAAAGATTCATGACTTGGAATTTTGACCAAACCCAAAATGTGTGTCATGCTTCTCTGAAGCCCCTGCAGGGAGATGCCGTGGGCCGTGGTGGTGCAGAGGGAGCCCATGGGGAAGGTATCATCGGCGCTGGGCAGGTGGCTGGGACGTGGTCTGGGAGACTGGGCAGGTGTGTTCAGCTTCAGCAGGGTGACATCATGGCAGACACCTCACTGGTCTCGGGGCCTCAAAAACCTGGGGGCTGAGAGCGGGGACTGGGCAGACCGCAGAGGAGGATGCAGAAAATGGTGGACATTGAGAAGGGCACGGGTGTGGGGCCGACAGGATCTGAGGACGGATGGGAAAGGGGCGTGACCTGTGATGCGTGTAATTTTTATACGTACACGTTTTTCTACAAGGAGCAAACATCAGAAACACCTGAGGATGTTTGCGGGCGCTTTGTTGTTTGGGAAGGAGAAGAAAAGAAAGCTCTTGAGGGGTAGTTGCCCAGGAGGCTGAGGGTGAGGGGACTCCTGTGCCCAGTCCCCTGCAGATCACACGCCTCGCCTGAAGCCTAGGGACTGCCTGTGGTGGCCGCTTGCGCCATCTTCTCTCCTGGCCTGCCTAACCCTGCCTCAGCGATCCTCGACCCCTGGATGGCCTCCTGGTCGCATCCAAGGCCAGCCGACCCAGCCACCACACAGTGTCTTCCTGGAGAGAGGAGGTGGCAGAGGGTTCTCGGGCTCGTGGCTGCCTCCTCAGAGGGTGCCTGCAAAGTGTGCCAGGCACTCAGTCTTCCCACCTGCACAGCGAACGCGTGGGACTTCCCAGGTTTCCTCAAGCCGCCAAGGTGGGGGCTGAGGGTCTGCAGAGATGGAGTGGGGGACACTGGGGTGGGTGGCAGTGAGATGGCACTGGGGTGGGACCGGGGGTCCTGGGATGTGGGGGCCCTGGGATGGGGTGGGGGCACTGTGCCACCTGCAGATTTTGGCTCCGCTGACCACTGGAGGATGGGGTAGCTCGTTCCCAACCTGCAGTTTGTTTCAGACCCGTTTCCTGCTGGTTACAGCACTTACTTGGATTGGGAGGGGGAGAGGGTCGTTCCCTGGCCACTGAGAGACCCACCTGCCCCAGTCCAAGCCTTCCCTGACCCCACAGTGGGCGGCGGTGACCGCCTGGTCCTCTCTGTTGAGGGAACCCCTACTGAAGTGGAAGCCAGTTTTGTCCTGGGAAGGAAGATGAGGGTTGGCACCTCATCTGGCCACCATCCGCTGTGCATAGGCAGAATCCCCCTCTCACCAGCAGGAACACCTGCCAGGACAGCATGTTCCCCATGGATGATGCTGGACAGGACACTCAGCACAGGGTGGATGGTGGGGACCCCGCAGCTTGGGGGCAGGGACAGGGCAACCAGTCAGTTGATGGAATCCCGAGGGATTAGGAGTAAAGACCCCACCCTGGCATCCAGAGCTTTGGCCACTGCAGGCCACTCCGTTTCCTCCTGCCCAGCCCGAAGCCGCCTTCCCCGGACCCGCTCGCTGTGCGTGGAGGGGAATGTCTGTCACCCTCTGATCTCAGGGTCCTGCGACTCGGTGGCTGGGATATCCTGTTCCTGAGATCCTTGGCGCTCTCTTGACCAGAGTCCATGGTTGGAGTGGATTTTGGCTGGGGAGTGAGGGACACAAACCTAGGGGGCTGCCGAAGTCCAGAGAGTGTGGGGAGGCAGGGACAGGCGAAAGGGGTGGGTGAGGGAGGGCATGGGGGGGCGGAGGCCTCAGGGCTTGGTGGGGGGTTTCAAGGGGAGGGGGCTGGGTAACCTCCGACTTCTGGGGTTGATGGCTGAGTGGATGGCGGAAACTGCGATGGAGAGGGGACCGTAGTGTGCCTGTGTAGGCTTGAGGTGCCCCCAAGCATGGCTGAGGGGACAGGGGACCCAAGCAGAAGAGTCCAGGGAGGCAGAGAAGGAAAGGCCAGAGGGGCTAGAGGGCAGGGTGCGGAGAAGAGACAGTGATCCAGGACCAGAGGGTGTCGTGCTCCATCCACAGCGGGGCTCACAGAGGGACTTCTCTGCCTGTGGCATTTGGGGCCGGGCGGTGGATTTGACCTGGGGCTCTCAGGCCTGTCTGAGCTTCCATTTATCTGAGCCGCAGCCAGAGAGGGAAGCAGCGTGTATGGCTGGGGAGGCGGAGGACGGCCCGCCGGTGGGAAACTTGTATTCCCTGAGCCTGCCAATCGCAGCCTGTCTCGGCCTCCCCTCCTCAGCACGAGTCTTTGGGCTGACAGAGCGCCAGGCAGCCACCAGAGGCTGCCGATCCCTGGACCCGAAGGTGTGTGGGCATCCCCTCCCCCAGCCACCCACCCCATGGCTGGGCCCTGAACACACTGAGCAAGGACGGATGGTGAGGACCCTGCGGCCTGGGCCCTGAGCTGAGAGTGGAGGCCAAGGTCCACCAGCCCTCCAGCCAGATCCCCCATGCATCTTTGTGCCCCTGTTTCATCTGCCTGCGCCTTCCTGGGCACTCTCTGGAGAACTGGAATCTGAGTGGTAGGGATGGCGACTGATGGGGGGACTTCCAGAGGCCCCCGTTGCCTGGCCTGGCCCCACCCAATCCAGCCCAGTGGAGACCCAGATTCAAGGGCAGAGTGAAGCCTTGGGGGCCCCAAAGCAGGAGGCAGACAGCACTGATGTGTGTTCCACGGGTTTACTGAGGCTCTGGGGGGAGCAGGGAGGGGGAGGCCAGGGTGGGCCACAGACTCAGTTGGCCGCCAGGATCTCCTGCACCCAGGGCATGAGCTCAGTGACGCGGGCATACACTCCAGGGCTGGAGGTGGAGCACGTGCCACTGCCCCAGGACACGATGCCCACCAGGGTCCAGGCTCCGTCCTTCTGGCAGACCAGGGGGCCGCCGGAGTCACCCTGCGGGAGGCAAGAGGACATGTCTCCAGGCCTGAAAGAGGTCCAGCCAGGGCCCTAGGGACCCTGGCCAGGCGGCTCCAGAGAGCGGTGCAGAGGAATGATAGCGTGGGCTCAGAGCTTGTGCCGAGGTCCTGAGGTCTGGGTCCAGATGGCAACCCCAGCTCTGCCCTGCTGGGGGGACCGGGCAGGTGGCTTCCCTCCCTAAGATGACAGATGCTCATCATCTGTCAGGTGGGCTGAACACCAGCTCAGAGGGCTAGTGTGAGGGTGAGGTCCCCTTAGGAAGCCCCCGCCTCCCCGGCCCCAGGGAGCCCTCCGCAGCGTCTGTGAGCTTCAGTCTCGGCCTTCACTGGACACTA